TTTACTTTATTCAGCCATATTATGAGGGTCAAATGTTAAGGTTACGTATGTGCCCTTGCTCCCCCCCTCCACCAGCCTAGACACTTTAAATTGGGTTTTCTATTACTTTTTAGCCAAGAGCATGACAAACTGATAAAATCATATACCTGACTCAAGAGTAGCCAATCCCTAGGCTGACCAGTTGGACACAAATGTGCACAGTGTCACTCAGTCACACTAATGCCAAAGCATGACGCGAGGCCCATAGTTTCTTGCCTAAATCCGAGCCACTCTCCAGCCTAGTCTCTTTAAGGCCACAATCCCAGTATGTCTCTATTTGCAGAACACCAGAAAAATTTGTCCCCTATGTTGCACAACAGTCCACCTTATTTTTAACTAACTTGAGTGGCTCTCAATTTTCTTGTCACCAAGTGAGTCTGACTAGAGCAATTTAGAAAGGTAAGTACCTTGGAACATAACCCTCCTCCCAGAAAAAGATATGGACTTGTCACCGTTAGCCTAAAAAGCATAATAGATGCATTATATGCATTTTGCTTTCTAGGCCACCCCCTGTAAGAACTAAAGAAAGTTCATTTGTCAACAAATGTGGAATCTGGCCTAAAACTCCTGTAGAAATTTCTGTAGTAAGTTTTAGCAACAGGGTCTTGCTCTCCTTGCAGGCCAGAGTCCAGTTGGTGCAATCATAGCTCCTGGAGCCTTGCGTTCCTGGGCTCAAGCAATTCTCCTGCCTCAGCCTCTCCAAGTAGGCTTACAGGTGCCTGCCAGCTTGTCTGGACTCCAAATAAATTTTCTACAACAAACTTTTAGCATCCACTGACGATTCTTGCTTGAATAAATTACTACTATGGTAATTGCATAAATGGTGATTCCTAACTCTTCTTCTACATTAATTAGTTGGTATTGTACTGTAAAGAATTCCTTCCCTCCCCTCCCCCATTTGCTTGCTTGGTGGCTTTTTAGTGTCAGTATGATTCATGGATTCTTTTATTCAATGGGATATAATCCATTAATGTCCCTACTTATTGTGATGCTCAAATTATCCCAGGTTTGGCTAGGGAAAGCCCATCAGCTGGCTCCTATGTCCTTTTGACATATCTGCATACTTTTTTAGTGCTTCTTCCTTTCTGGTGCAGCAAGTGTTCCAGGCCATGTTGCATTTCCCTGCCCTTAGCCATGAAAACAGCCAATTCTCAAGAACCCTGGTTCCTTTTGGTAGGGAATGATTTTAAAAACCAAGATTGGAAACCAGATCTCTTTCATTGCTACTTACTCTTTCAGCAAACATATCCAGGGAATTGTTTTATTTGTGTTTTAAAAAGAGAAAAGAAAAAGCTGAGTT